TGGACTTTCCCACATGGCCAATTGGCATTCCCCTGAGGCTATAATCCCATCAATTGGCCTTTCATTGTGGCTACACCCAACCTCCCAATTCTCTGTTACCCTTAACCTAGCCTAGCCCTACCTCTCTATAGCCCCAGGCCACTTCCCACCCTTAATCCTATCTAGGCTCCATTCTCCCTTGGCCTAGTGGTCCAGGTCCCAGGTCCCAGGAGTTCTATTACCTCATAGACTACTTGGCCACTTCTAGATCCCTCCCATAGTCTTTCTGTATATAAATAAGGTCCATCCTGTCTCCATTAAGATGCTGGGATTCTTATAATCTAGTCACTGCTTAGATTCTTAAAATCTAGCCAATTGCTTACTAATGTTCAGACTCCTTAAGAGACTGCCCAATGTGACAGATGTTCTAATAAACCTTGCCTTTGGCTGAAAAAAAAAAGGAGAAATTAATGCTGTAACATAATGAATGTAATCTTGTATTCTCTTTTTACTCTACTATCCTAACTTTCTTTAATTTTTTTTAATGGGAAGGAAGTTTCTCAAGGGAAGAAGTGAAGCCAAAAGACTTCAAAGAACAAAATAGGTATTCGCAGCAGCAGCAGAAGTGAATAATAGAGGGTACAGACAGAGAAAAAACCAAGGTGAAGAAACTGGAGCAGAAACAGCGAAACAGATAGAATGAGAGAAGTCTGTGTAAACAGGAGCAAGGTGATGAGGGAAGAAAGAAAGTCAAACACAGATAGAGATCTCTTTGAACAAGGATGAAATAAAGAGAGAAGATAGGCTGGGTTGGGTTTAACAGAGAAAAACAAATTTAAAACCAACCCAAAAAAATATGTGAAGAAGAGAGGAGCTTTTTGGGGGAGAGCCATTTCAGGAGCCAGTTAAGGTACCTCCAGAGGAAAAGCAAGCCATCTGGGCTAATGCCAGAATGCATTCCAATCAGAGAAGGAAAAAAGCAAATAATCTAACAGTAGACTTCACAGCTTGAAAAGTGAGTGGCATAATTGGAAATGACAACAAACAACAACAGCAAATAACAAAACTGAACACCATGTAATCATAACAACCAAGGTTCTCTCCAAAGAAGAGTTAAGAAAATGCACTGCCCTTCCTTCAGTAGAGGTGGGGAACGACAGGTGTAAGACATCACAGACACTGTCATGGTCATTTTGTTTATTGATTCATTTTGTTGAATTGTTTTGTTTTTCCTTACGCCTTTTTATTTTTTTTTTTGTTACAAGGGATATCTCACTGAGGAGGGGAGAGGAAGGGCTATATAATATGAAATAAAGGGTGGCACAAAATCAAAAGATAATAATAGCTATCATTTGTATTATGCTTTAAGGTTTGCAAAGCCCTTTACAAATAGCTCATTTTGTCCTTACAACAAGCCTGGAAGGCAGGTGAAATCCCCATTTTACAGATGAGGAAACTGAAGCAGAGTCTCGCAGCTAGTAAGTATCTAAAGCAGAATTTGAACTCGGGTCTTCCTGACTCCTGGTCCAATATTCTATCTACTACACCAGCTAGCTACTTCAAATTTAAAAGGTTTTTTCTTTTTCTTTTTTTTTTAAGAAACTAATGGCATGAACAATTTAAAAAGAAGAATTATACCTAGCAGTCTCAGTGCCGAGGATTCTAAGCTAACCTCAGGCTTTTATATTCTTATTTGAAAGAGTAACATGACTAGCACAATGAAACAAAAGGCGTTAATGATGGTATATTAGAAGGAAGAGCAGAAGACTTTGAAAATGGAAGCCATTGACCTTACTAAACCCCGACTACAAGCTTCTTGCAGGAATGCAGTTAACCGAGACATAAGCCACAGAGTATACCCCAAACAGTGGGCTATCTGGTGATCTGAGAAATTATAGGAAAAGCCAAAAGAGGAAGAGGGGAAAGATACTGACTATCTCTATACCTAGAAGAATCTTACGTTTGACAAGCCATGATTTATCTACCACATAGAGAATGTTCATTGGAGTTTGCCAGATGGGAAGCTGAAATACATGAAGACATTCTCTATCGGGTGTGATCAGCATCCCCAGGCACAGTGGGTGGGTGAGAAAAGACATGAAATTGACAAGGTGGGAGAGGTGAGGCGGCCCATGCGGGCCCTGCTGGAAATTAATCATGCCATGTGCCGGTACCATTTCCGTCAGCAACAGAGAGAAAAAGAGGAAATAAGGTCTAAACTATTATTGTACAGTGGAAAGAGCACAGTTAGAGAATCAGAGGTCCTGAGTTCAAGTTTTGGCTCTGCACCTTATTATTTGTATGAGCTGTAGCAAATCATTTAACCTCCAAGGGACTATTTCCTCATCTGCAAAATGAAGGGGATTGAAATAGATGGTCTCTAGGCCTCCAGGGTGCCTTCCATCTCTAAAACTACAATGTTCTGTAAACTAATTTCCCATGAAAGTTTGGAACTCGCCACTTAGAGCTGGAGGGGATCACAGTCCAAATTTCCCATCTTACAGATTAGGAAACTGAGATCCAGAGGATGAGAAATGACTTACCCAGGGACACAAGTCAGTAGCAGATTCAAACCCAGATCCTCTGGCTTCAAATCAGGATTCCTTTCACTAGACCTCGCTGAGTGAGAAGCCACCCCAACCAAGTGCAAAGCCTCAAAAACTGGAGTCAAAGGAAAATCCCATCTATACTATGCCATCCAGAGGACCTGGCTTCAGTTACTACCAGTGTGACCCTGGGCAAGTCTTTTAAGTTCTCTCACCTTAATTCCCTCATCTGTAAAATAAAAGGGTTGGAATAAGTAGCCTGTGAAGTTCCTTCCAGCTCTGTGATTCTAAGACATGAGAATCAAAGGGAAAAGCCACAGCTCTGATAAAGAAAAACCAGGAAAGATCCAAAGAAACATCCGAAGATGTCTATGGCTATAAAATAGAAATTGATGGATTTGGGGGATAAGGTTGTTACAAGGATCTTTAAGAGGCTTCTGGATATAAAATTGGGACAAAGCAGAGATGTCCCAGGGAATATCTTATACAACAAACTGCTGATCAAGGCAAAACTAAGTTTCGAGGACAAAAGGAGCTGTCCAAGAGTAAGTGGATGGGAGGGAGACATAGTAACACATACATAGTCTCTGGGCCATACCAAAAACTTTTGGTGTCAGTGAGCCAAGATTGTGGGAGGGAGAGAATGACAGAGAGGGAGGAGAAGACATGATGGATGAAGTGAAAAGGAAAAGAAAGAGAATCACAACCTTGGGGCTAAAGATTACAAAAAGGGAAGAAGATAACCTAGAAATGTGCAAATGAACCATAAAATTTGGCTAGAAGATGAGAGAATTTATGAAGACGAAAAAGAAAGCAATTTACAAAAAGGTTATGGCAAAGAATGAAAGAGACAGTCCAGTCTGATAAATTACGGGCTGTGGGTATTGAACAATACATATAGTTATCCCTTCCGCATCACAACTTTCCCCATCTCAGTTTCAATATATCATGGGTCAGCATAAAAAATTAAATGGGAATTTGGGAGGAGTTTTGCAGAAGCCGCAGATGACACACAAAGGCTGGCAGGTAACACAGAAAAAGTTTAGAAACTCAGAAATGTATAAAATATGTGTATAGTATTGTATAACAGCAACATATTTTATCTTTTACTACCATAATAATTCAGACAACTTCTCTGGTATGAAGGGAAGGCCAAAAAAAGTATGGATTTTTTAGATCACAGGGATGCTGCATCCCTAATCCCCACAATGTGGAAGAGATAACTGTATTGTCAAATTCTACTGCTATGTTGGCTAATTTTGCTGAATTGCTTTCTTTTGCCTCTTCTTTTTGTATATGTTACAAGGTATGGCTTGCTGGGTGGGAGATGTAGATGCAGCAAAAAGATGATATAAAAACAGAAGCTGTCATTATTTTGTTAAACAAAAAGGAAGGCCCAGACCTGTAAAGAAAAACCAGAAAAGATACAAACAAAATAAATACAGAAACAAGCATAAAACAGTTCAGTGAAAGACAATGAAAATGTGTACTTAAATTTATAAGAAATCAGCATGTAATGGTTATGGAAATTTTGTTGGCTTCTTTGATGGTGTGATAAGAATTATAAATAAGTAAATATGTTATGCTAATACTATTCAAAATAAAAATCTTATCATAATGAGATGGGATAATAGGTGTGAAAATGTTCTGAAAATGTGTAAAACACTGCAAAAAATACAAGGTATTGTTAATGCTGCCATCATTTCAAAGCATGGTGAATATGAACATGCAAGAACTCTGGCTTTTACTGATCAGTCAAGGCCCCCAATAAATCTGATTTTGGGGACCCCAGAGGCCCAGTGAGAGAAGATTGGCAGGCCCATTGGTCAAACCTGCTGAGAGGCAGGCTGTCCAAAGCTGTATTCTGATGTACAGGTCAACTTAGATAGGTCTCCTAAGCCAAGAAATCATCCAGTATGGGAGAGAGGTGGATTTCAAGCACTGGTGAAACATTGGCAGGGAAAGAGGGGAATGAAGATGAGGGGTAGAAAGGGGACACAAAGTGGGGCAGGGGAGGGATTTGAGCATCATTGATTTGGAGCTAGAAGGGACCTTGGAGATCCAAAACCCCTTGTTATACAGATAAAGAAGTTCAGGCCCAGAGAATAAGTGATTTACCCAAAGTCACAAAGGTAGTAAACGGCAGAACTGGAAATTGAGATGGAGAGGCTAAGTGATTTACCCAGGGTCACACAGCTAATAAGTATCTGAGGCAGGATTTGAACCCAGGTCTTCCGAACTCCAAGTCAAATGTTCTATCTAACCACTCCATGCTACATCTCAGTTGTCAGGCTAGTTCTGGGAGCAAATAATAATAATAATGACTCACATTTATATAGCACTTACCACGTGTTAGGCAGTGTGCTAAGTGTTTTGCAATTATTCTTGTTTGAGTCTCACAACAACCCTGGGAGGTAGGAGCTGTTATTATCCCCATTTTATAGATGAGGAAACTGAGGAAAAGAGCCTTTGAGCCTACTCCATGGTAGCCGGTTCCTGGGAAACATGGGCCTTGAGAGTGCCTGGACCTACGTGGATCATGGCCTCAATGATTTTCCGAGCCTCCTGGTACAGTTCTTCTTCGCAGTGTGGGTTTAGCTCCTTAAGTTCCAAGGCAAGGCGGTTATGCTCCCGGAGGAAGAGAGTTTGGAACACCATGGTGCCTAATGGCTTATCTGTCCTCGAGTCCCCTTGAGAGATAGATGCAGAATATGAGGCAGCAATAAAGAAAGGGTCATTTCTAGAGGGCAGAGACTGCTTCACTTCTTACCACTGTGTCTCCAATGCCTAGTACAGTAGGTGGTTAATGAATGCTTATCGATGCCTTAATTAATTAATGGGCCAAGGACACAGATGGGGCAAAAAGAGCTCCAAGTGTGGCATTCCTTCTACTTACGATCTAGTTCTTCCAAAAAGAAAGAGTTCTGGCCCTGGAGTCAGAGTCCAACGTCTGAAGCTTACTCATCTCTGTGACCTTGGGCAAGGGACTTCACCTGCCTGCACCTCAGTTTCCTCATCTGTAAAATGAGGGGATTGAATTAGATGGCCTCTGAGGTCTATGCTTCATGGGAAGTGATGTCCCAACACTAGGAGACAGAAGAGGTCCTATTTCCACAGAAGTCCCCTCCTTCTTTACAGTTAAGTGCTTAATTGATGCCTGTTGAACTGAATTGATTAGAACTAACTGAATTGAAAAATTAGACTGAACTGAATTACCTACAAGGGACTAAAATATATGCTGGTAGAATCAGGCAAATCAGGCTGGGGTTGGAAATAGATTAGGACCCTTTCTCGCAGTCCTTAGGAGAACAGTGGTGGACAGCCTCTGATCCTCATCTCTGCCTGAACTCCAGTCTTCATCACTGCCCCTCTCCAGGATCCCCAACTCAAATTCCAGGAACTCCTCTCAGTAATCTGAATCTCTACAAGATCCAGGGATGATAATAATAATGGCTAAAATTTACACAGGACTTTAAAGTTTGCAAGGCACTTCGTGCCTATTATCTTATTTGATTCTTTGCAACAACCCTATGAGGAGTGTACTCTAATTATCTTCATTTTATGGGTGAGAAAACTGAGGCTGGGAAGTTAAGTGACTTGTCCAACTAGGCTGGATTTGAACTCAGGTCTTCTTAATTCCAAGTCAGGCACTTTATCTACAACCAAAGGTGGGGAATCTGTGGCCTCAAGGCCGCATGTGGACTTCTAGGTCCTTGGGTGTGGCTTTTTGACTGAGTTCAAGTTTTACAGAACAAATTCTTTTATTAAGGGGATTTGCTCTGTGAAGTTTGGATTTGGTCAAAGGGCCACACTTGAGGACCTAGAGGACCACATGTGGCCTCGAGGCCACAGTTTCCACACCCCTGAATTTACACCCTATGCCACCCAGCCACCTAGGACTATAGCTCAAGACCTGCAAAAGACCACAGAGACCATCTAATCCAACTCCATTTTACAGATGAGAAAACTGAGGCCCAGATGGGTGCTAAGTGACTTGCCCAAAGTCACACACAAGGTAAGAGGCAGAGTCAAGCTTCAAACTCAGGAAATATGATTCCAATTCCAATGGTCTTTTAATCTTTCCACCATATTATACTGCCTTTATTAATTTTTTAGACTTGCCTGCGTTACTTGAGTTCAAATCTGACCTCAGACATTCACTATCTATGTGACCCTGGGCAAGTCACTTGAACCCAATTGCCTCCAAGCCCACATCACTGAGAGATAAAGTGATTTGCCTAGTTAGGGTCTTACAGCCAGTATGGGTCAGAGGCAGGATTTGAACCTAGGACTTAGAGAGTATTACCCACCCTCCCATGCTATCGTTTAATAGATAGAAGGGATCTGACCTTGTTCCTGGCTTCTCTCCCCTGAAACCATGATCACAAATAAGTATTATCAGTAGCCTTTGTTAGGTAGCTATCTGTGGCACTTCAGGCACTGGGCTGAGCCCCTTGCCCCGTGTTAAGAACATGGTCATTCATTTCCAAACCTCACTGCCTCAAACAGATTATAATCGGGAGCGTAGAGATCACATACCCATTAAACTGATCATCTACGGTCACTGCCAGCTCTAAATATTATGGTCCTAGAAATATGGCGAGAGTCTGTAATTTTTGCTACATATGGCAACTTTTTCAACCAACATAGACCACAGCAGATCTACCGATTAAACAATAAGACATTGGGAAGTTTCTGTAGCACATAAAAGTGACTTCTGCAGGGGTGACCAACAATGACCTACTATGTGCCAGGCACTTTGCTAAGTGTCAGCAGCAGTGATTCTCAAAAAACATGCTGGGAGTTCTCACTAACCTTTCCTTGGATTGTATGGAACCTTACACTCTTGGAATCATATATGCATTTGTAAGTGTCCCACTCTCCCAGAATGTGCCTGACTTCTCAAGGCAAAAAAACAATACTATACCATAAGTAAAAATAAAAATAATAGAAGGTTGGAGAACTCCTCGTCAGGGTCTCACAGGAAGTAAGGTCTTCCTGACTCTGAACCCAACACTCCACCATACCCCATCGCTTACCAGTAAGGCACAAGGCCTGGAACTGTGATTTCACTGGTACAGGGCACTGCCAGGTGAGGAAACTCCCTTTCCTCTCCCCTCCCCTCCCCTCCTTTCCCCTCCTGTGATTTAAGAGCCTGCCTCTGAGATATGCCTACAACCGTACCCCACCTCATCCTTTAAGCATTATTATTATTACAGCTCCATGTCTGACCACTCTCTGTGACCAGGAACTCTGAATGGGCCCTCTCCAGGAAGGGGACCATAACAGAGCCTAAGGAAGAGCGGGGAAGAGGCCCAGGAGAGGAGTCAAGTATCTTCGATTTACCTGCTCTGAAGCAAGAGATGTTGGCCTCCTTGTTGGTGAGCAAACAAGGATTTAGGGCTCGGGTCTCAAAAGGCATGAAGTCAAGTCCTTCATCCTGGAACTCTTCATTGAAGGCCAAGAGGCCCATGTCACTGCTCTGGTTGTGAAGCAAATTGGCCAGGGTGTCCGCGCTGCCATACACCATACTGTCATCCAGGAATGAGGTGATGCCATTAATCTGCTCCTGGATGAAGGAGTCAGGGTTGCAGGTGGGAGAGATGTGGGTGAATGGCATACAGACACCTAGGGTGTCAATCCTGGAGTCATCGGGAAGAAACTTGGGAAAGATACTGCTGCTTACTTCCTGGTCCCAGGAGTCTTAACTCCCTCTTCACACCCTTCCACCTGTTCATTTGCTGGGAAAGGAGGTGGTGAAAAGAGGAGGGTTCCCCCCAACCTGTGCTCTGTGATCCAGCCAATCCGGTCTTCTCTCTGTTCTTCACACATGACACCATCTCCCATCTCCTCCCACTGCACTATCTATCCCTCATGACTGGAATGGACTCTCTCCTTATCTCTATATCACAGAATCTTTCTTTTCCTGTAAGACATAGCTGAAATACTATCTTCTTCTATCTTTCCTGATTCCCTCAATTACTAGCTCCCTCCCTCCCAAACTAGCTTGTATTTAACCACTTTGCATATATTTGTATTTATTGAGTCCTTTCAGTCCTATCTGATTCTTTTTGACCCCTTTTGGGATTTTCTTGGCAAAGTTTGTCATTTCCTTCTCCGGCTCATTTTACAGATGAGGAAACTGAGGCAAACAGGACTTGCCCAGAGTGACACAACTAAGTAAGTGTCTGAGGCCAGATTTGAACTCAGGAAGATGAGTCTTAACTCTAAGTCCTACACTTGTCCTCTGTGCCACGCATTTCTATATGTATTTATCATCTCCTTCATTAGAACGTAAGTTCCTCCTGAGTAGGAATTTATTCAGTCTTTGTATTTTCATCCTTTATGCCTGGCATGTTAGTTAGTACACAGTAGGTGCTTGTCAACTTAATAAATACTTGTTGATTAATTCATTCTTTAATTCCTAGCTCTTCCTACAGAAAACTCCTCAAGAGTGTGTCTTCAGACCCCTAGTGTTCGTATCTTATTTCTCCTTCTTCATATCTTCCTCCCCGCCACCCATACCCAAGCCCTGACACCTCCTGCCACAAAGTCTTCAGTGAACATTCTAAAAATCTTTCTCTTCTCTACCATAATGTTGATCCCAGCCCTGGCCCTTTGTAGGTCTGATGGCTTACATCGTGCACAGTGCCCCCCGAAGGCAGCCCTGATTGTTCCCCCATGCCTCTGGGAGCCATGGGCAGGCCTATGATTTAGGCAAGGGCAGGGGGAAGGAAACAACAGTAATAAGCTAGATCTGAGATTCTTAACATACATGGACCCCTTTGGAACAATCTGGTAAAGCTGTGGATTTAGAATTCTCAGAATTATGTTTTTGAATGATTGAAGGAGTAGATGTTAGTGAAAAATGAAGATGTATTTTTTCCCATCCAAGTTGATGGACGCCCTGAAATCTATGCACAGATCCCTTGCCGGGTGATGGTTCGTGGACCCCAGGTTAAGAATCTGCAAGCCAGATGATCTCAAAGGTCCCTGACAAGAAAGGGGAAGGGGAAGAGAAAGGGGAGAAGAGGGGAGAAAGGAAAGAAGGTAGGGACAGAAAGAGTAGAGAAAAAAGTTTACATGTGTAGAAGGGAATGAGGGCTGGAAGCCCACCCCAGTAAGATATTTATATTTAAACAGCAGCCTCCAATTCCTTAATCCAAAGTAGTTCATTAATATTGGAAATTTCAGGCAGTAGTCCAGTGAGGAAGAAAGTTTGGGAAAGAAAGAAACTTTTATCGTCCTTCCCTCTGGGATAATATGCAAGGACCAAAGCTGACCTGATATGAGAGAGAGGAAAGGGTGTGCTCACTGAAAACCCAGGGAAGGCCAATGGTGTCCTCATCTTAATAGGGAAGCAGGGGGTTCAAAAATGCAACTGGTGAAGTCACATGGAGCTTCCTTTTTGTCCACCCACTGCCCCCACTGCATGAAGATGAGCGAGCAGTTCTGCTCCTGAGTGACGTTGTCATTGGAAACGTGGGCCAGCGCATTGGGCACTTGGCAGACCTACCCAGGGAGCAGAGGCAGTGACTGAAAGGAACTGAATCCAAGCTTTCTGGTGAGTTCCCAGCAATCATCAAGGAGCCTTGGGGTCTGTGCGCTCATTCTTCAGTGCCACTCAGTCCTGCTGAGTCTGCAGCCCAGTATTCCCTTAATGCACTCCCTCACTGCCATACTTTCCTAACTCTATCTCCCTAAGAAACACTAAAGAAAAAAGAATTCCTGAACCATGAGTCAGGAGGGACCTAGATTCCAAAATCCCAGTTCTGACATTTATTTATGCTCCTGGGCAAATCATAAAACCATGCTGACCCTCAGTTTCCTCATCTATAAAATGTGTATAATGATATTAGTGCCTGTCTGGGAGGGGGTGAGGAAACTAAGTATGATATAAATACTTTACATAATATAGAAACTTTACCTAGTATAAAATATAAAAACATTAAAGCATAATAGAAATGGAAGGGGTATTTTAATTATTTGGTTGTCCTGTCCCAAGATTTTATCAGCATGGGGGGAACTCCCAGTATGTAAACTCCCTCTACTGCAGCTCAGATACTTTTTTGTAATTTATAGTCATAGGCTCAAAGGTTAATGAGCTCAAAGAGCTAGAGCTGAAAAGGAGTATGGTGATCTCTAACCCAAATCCCTCATTTTACAGATGAGGAAACTGAGGCCCCAGGGAGCTAAATGACTTGCCCGGCCTCACACAGAGGGTGAACATCAGATATGAACCCATATTCCTCCCCCTCTGACTCCAGAGCTAGCCTTAAGAAAGGTATATGGGACCCAGAGAGGTTAAGCAATTTTCCTTGGGCATCAGAGATAGGATCTAAACCCCAATCTTCTTTTCTCCAAGGTTAGCTCACTGTGCACCATGCCACATGTCTCAAATCTCAGCTGTTATTATTTATTATTCCTCCCCAACCAAGGATAGCTCAGCACTGATTAGACAAATTGACTTGCCCTTCCCACCTGAAATGCCCTCTCTTCTACTCTCTATCAATCGAACCCCTTCTTCCAAGCCCACCTCCTCCAGGAAGGGTGTCTGGACTGACCACTGGCCAGCTTGGATCATTCTCTTACTCTCCACATCCTCAGTCCACCTATTTTCCATTTTTATTCTATCATTTTCCACTTGTGGTCGCTTAATGTGTATGTATTATTTGTCTCCAGGTAGATCATAAGCATCTCAAGGGCAGAGACTCTGTCTTCTGTCTCCTTCCCATTCCCTCCCATGGGCATTCAGTAATGCGTGTTTATTGAACAGACAATGATGTCTTCATTGTGTCTATTGCTAAGTACAGAGGATAACACCATTCTTACCAATGGGAGAGGGAATCCATTAAAAAGCTTTCCTTCTGTAGCCCCCTTAGGAAGAAATATTCCATCTTCATACCCAGCAGGGAGATATAAATATAACTCTAGATCTCTATACTATCTGTCTATAGAGATAGATAGGTATCTCCAGAGACATAGAGATAGAAAGACAGAGACATCTATCTATCTCTAGAGATAGAGAGATATGGAACCTCTCTATCTCTCTACTTCTACCTATATCCCCAAAGCCATCCTTCCACCCTTTCTCCATTTCTGTTGATGATGCTGATACCTTCCCACAGTCCCCCATTTCTCAACCTTAGAGACTCTCCCCTCCCCTGGGTTCTGCCATCAGACCCTAGCTCTCAACCACACTCCCTTCTTTCATATAAAATAGAACCATCAGATATCAACTCCTTTGTTTAGCTTTTGAAGCTCTCCACAGCTTGACCCAAACTTCCCTTTCCAACCATTTTATGCTTTGAATTACTTCCTTTCCCACCCTCTTTGTTCCAGGCAAATGTGCCTTCTTATTAGTCACCCATGGCAAATATGCAATCCCACCTTGTTTCTGCTTCTTAAAATCACCCCTTTCCTTCAGAACTCTGCTCAGGCAATACCTTCCCTATTAAGCCTTTCCAGGTGCCCCTCACCTCAGCTGCTAATGCAAAAAATTCATTTATAATTTTATGATTTAGAAATTTTTTAATATTTATTGAGAAAATTTTATAAATTTTATTGGTAATTCGTAAGTTTAGAATTTATTTTCTACACATGTGGTACATACTTGTTTATGAAAATGTTGTCTCTCTTCACTTCTACCCCCAAGGTGGTTCAGTGGATAGAGTACTGACCCAGGAGACCTGAGTTCATATGTGACCTCAGACATGACTAGCTGTGTGACCCTGGACAAGTCACTTAACCTCTGTTTGTCTTAGTCTCCTCAACTGTAAAATGGAAATAATAATAGCACCTACTTCCCAGGGTTGTTATGAGGATCAAATAAGATACTATTTTGAAACACTTAGTACAGTGCCTGGTACATAGTAGGTAATTAGTAAGTGTTTATTTATTTCTTTACTTCTCTGATAAAAATATAAGCTCCTTGAGGAAAGGGATGATTTCACTTTCATCTCTATATTCCCCAGTGCCTAGAGCAGTTCCTGGCACATAGCGGGTGCTTGCTTGCTTGATTGATTGATTCCACCACTGTCCCAGGTTTGGTCCTCCCCCTTCCCCATCTCCTGGAGGCAGCTACTCCCACTGGGGCCATAAGGAGGCAAATGTGGTTCGTTTCCAGCCCAGCAAGAGCATTGAAAGGTTAAAACCACCAGGCAAATGTCAGGAGTTATTAAGACTCTTGACATCTGTTCTCAGGACAGAGGATCTGATGGGGTGTGAGTAGCCTTGGAAGTAGCCTCCTGGCTACCAGTTGTTGATTTCCCAGTGATGGTCCAATAAGGGCTGATATCTGGGCATTCTGTAGAATGAATGGAGTCACAGCCCGTTGCTTGGGCAATAAGGCCCTTCTGCAGTGGACTTAGCATGTCTGTAGGGAAACCAGTGATGGCTTAGGGTTAGGAAGAATGGGTATCCTATCTCCTAGGAGAAAGTCCTATCTCCTAAAGCAAGTCCATTTATTTTTCAAGTCTCCATGAGATATCTACCGAGGCTAATGCTAATGGCTAGCTAGGAAGTCACCTTCTTTAAATCCACAGGGCATCAGCCAGAGTTTCCACTCACCCACCCCCAGTTATCTTCTGATAGGAGCTGGCTAACTCTGTAGCTCTGAAAAACCCCTACCAAGGCTGTCATGCAGACCTATAGTAGTAAGGAAGGGATGAAAATGGAAAGGGGCAGCTAGGTGGTGCAGACAACGCCAGCCTTGGAATCAGGAGGACCTGAGTTCAAATCCGGCCTCAGACCAAACACTTGACACTTACTAGCTGTGTGACCCTGAGCAAGTCATTTAACCCCGATTGTCTCACCAAAAAAAAGAAAAAAGAAAGAAAGGAAATGGAAAGGAAAAAAAGGAACCAGAAGATGGGAAGGGAATAGAGGATAGAGAAGGTGAGAAAGAAAAAAGAGAAGAGAGAAAGGTGGGAAAAGAAAGAGAGATTAAAAAGACAAATGCCCTCTAAAGGGAAACTGAGGTGAAATGGAGAACGAGTTTGGAGTCAGAAAACAGGTTTTTTGAGACATGGCTCTGATGCTTGTATACCACAGGCATTTAATTGCTCTAAGCCTCAGATTCCTCACTGATAACATGGAGATAATAACAGTTTGTACTATCTACCTGAAAGGGTTGTTATGAATAAGGTGCTCTATAAACTTTAATAAGGGATAGAAGCAGGGACTTGACCTGTGATTTCACTGATAGCAGATGAGGAAACTCCCTGCATCAATGTGACTTTGCAAGGTACTGTCTTAGACAGGAGCTGGGGCACGAAGAGGTTAAGTGCATCTGCTTTTCTTCCTCATCTCAAGGCAGTGACTTCTCATCACCACTACTGGAGGCCATTGACACCACTGACTACGGGAGCTACCCAGACAACATCTCCACACAAAACCAATGCTCTAACCAAGATGGAACGGTTCGTGGGGATCACAACCAAGTTTGATCCCCAGCTGCTTCATTTATACCCAGACCTTCCTTTGAATCTCTTGTGTTGTTACAATACATTATAGCTAAGACCTAGGACCCTGTGCACAACACATAGAACTTCTGGTGTTGGGAGGGGTTGGCAGATCAGCATAACAAATAATAATAATAATAATAACACCTCTTAGTACTATCTGGTTTACAAATCTGCGGGTAGTATAACAGTTATATCCCCATTTTACAGATGAGGAAACTGAGTCTCAGAAAGGTCAAATGACTTGTCCAAGGTGACACAGCCAGGAAATAGACAAGCCAGGATTCAAATCTAAGTCCCCTGACTCCAAGTGCAGTGTTCTTTTCACCCCATCACACTATTCCCTGCAGCTCAAGGCCCCGGGGTTACCCCATCCCCAGGGCTGGGAGTATCTATGATATTCACATCCCCCAGAATAGGCAAGAGTTCCTGCTTCAAGATCTGCAGGGTGGTTTCTGTGCAATCAGCTGCTCACGTGGCTTCCTCGGTTCCCTCTGTGGGTGCTTTCAGGAATTGAATGAAAGCAAAAGGGGTGGCCGTGCCATTCTCCAGGGCATTGTCACCTCTGAAAGGAAAAAGGAGTCATGGACCTTGCCCACACGCACGTGGGAGTCCCAGAATACCAGAGCTGGAAGGGACTTTGGAAGGCACCTGGTCCGAGTGACCAAGGATCCCCACTAGAATGTAACCGACAAGGAGTCCTCCTGCCTCTGCCTGAAGACCTCCCACGAAGAGAAAGCCACTCCCTCCTAAGATGGCCCATCTCCCTTCAGGATAGCTCTAAACATTTAATGAAAAAATCAACAAGCATTTATGAAGCACCTACTGCATGCCATTCATTGGAATTGCCGCAACAAAAATAAAAAGTCCCTGGCTACAGGATCACCCTTGCTGGGGGCAAGGGTGAGGGGACACTTCAGTGGTCATTTAGTCCAACCCCCTCATTCTACAGAAGAGGAAACTGAGGCACAGAGCGGTCATAGGTGCACAGCTTTAGAGCTGGAAAGGACCTCATCTAAATTCAACATGAGGAAACTAAGACCTAGAGAGATGGTAGCAAGTAGCAGAGACAGAATTTGAGCTCAGGTCCATTAATTACCAATCCAAAGCTCTTTCTGCTGTATCACACTGCTTCTCAGAAAGCTTGCATTCTGTCAGTAGAGACACTTAAGGACCTTAAAATAAAAATGTATGAGGGCAGCTAGGCAGTGCTAGACTCTAGGCACCCTGGCGTCAATAAGACTTGAGTTCAAATCCAGCCTCAGACACTTACTAGCTATGCGACCCTGGGCAAGTCACTTAACCTCAATTGCCTCAAAAAATATATATACAAGATAATTGGGGGGAGGGTGGAGGTAGAAGTAGTGGGGGGATCAGGAGAGTCTTACATTGGAGACAGTGTTTGAACTTAAGAAATTTTATTAAAAATTAAAATTTTTATTACACCAAGCCCAGATGTGCCTCTCTGGAATTTCTAGTCTACTGTTCCTAGCTCTACATGAAGCAAAATATATCTGACCCCTCATCCTGGAAGACAAGCTATCAGGTCTCACTCCTCCCCATCCCAAAAATTTTCAACTAACTAAAATTTCTCCTTCCTCCAACACATCCTCCTAGGATTTTCTCCCCATCGTGGTCGCCCTCTGCTGGCTGAAATTCAACTCATCTAGATTCTTGAAAACAATGCTATCAAACTTATGGATGCCAAGTCCAGAACGGGGGCGAGAGTTGCCCCTAATGTACACACACACATCATGGGTGGTGTCACTGAAAGATGACATTTAGGATGATTGTCAGGGCTTCAACTTAAACCCGCTTTTGTCCTTTTCTCCTTTCCCCCTTCCTTTTACAACTCCCCTCCTCTTTTCTCTCTTATCTTCAGAATTAGCACAAATCTACCTTTCTCAAATTGTTTTACATTTTTGTCTTACATTTCTCCTCTTCAGACACTCTGCAAACCACTCTCATATTTCCTATACACAATATTCCATCCACTGTCACCAATTCTTTGTACAAGCTGCCCATCCCGCCCCCATTCCTGGAATTCACTCTCTTTTCCCTTCTGCCTCTTAGAATCCTTAATTTCCTTCCAAGCTTAGCTCCAATGATACCTCCTACAAGAGGCTTTTCCAGGTCTATGCCACTCTCCCCCATCAACTATATCCTTCTCCCAAAAAAATTAACATGTATCTACATGGACTAGGATATATTTGTACATATCCATACATGCATGCATGCATACATACATACATACATACATATTGCTTATATGTTGTCTCCTCTGGGGCAGGCGATGTCAGCTTTCTAAGGAAAAGGAATGTTTCTTTGCTATCTTTGTAACTCTAGTGCCCAGCTCAGTATTTGAGAGGAGGGAGGTGATTAATAATTGTTTGTTAATTAGCCAATAACCTATGCTTTTAGCCTCTGTCTCAGTTTTTCAGCTTTGGTCTAAAGCCTCCACTGTAGCTAGATTGGGGTTTTAGTGTATAAGTAGAAACACCTTTCCCCTCTGATGTTTTGTTCTTTCTTGTAAATTTTTTTCACTGATACAAAATGGCAAAAGGTTAAGTGTGTCTAACCAGTCACACATCCCAGAGAATGCCAAGGCCAGGAAAGAACATGAGAGACCATCTGCTCCAGACCCATCATTTTAAAAATGGGAATGTGGATAGGGGGACAGATTTGCCTAAAGTCGTAAGGATGAGTGAGGCGGAGATCTAGGACTCCTGGCTCTTTGCCCAGTGCTTGCCTCTACAGCATGACTCACATCCCTGGGGTATCGATGATGTCCCTTTGCCTGGTTTTTAGTTGTAGAAATGGCGTAGCTATTAATAATAGGATTGACAGCTTAGGCCGTGTGACTGCTGCTAATATCAGGGCAAGAACTACCCTGGTTTGGGATTCTTAATTAAATTATCCAGAGGAGGAAAGTTATGTGGCAAAAAAAATAAATTTATTGGCCTCAGAGTGAAATTTCTGAGAGAACATTAATATACATTTATACATGTAAGTATATGTTAATGGTCTTTCATTTATATACAGAAAATATATTAATGTTCTCTGATAGAAAACTATTATAATGGGCAACCTTTTCTTTACTGAATACATACGAGTTATATGTCAATGTGTACATATGTGTATATACATCATCTCCCTGGGCCTCAGTTTCCTCATCTGCAAAATAAGGGTGTTGGGCTGGAAGGCTTTCCAGCTTTAGATTTATGATCCTCCTATGAATTTCTCTGGGCCTCAGTTTCCTATTCTGTAAAGCGATTGGGTCGGACTAGATGGCCTCAGTGGTCCCTTGCAACTCTAGATCTTTGCTCTGATGAGTCTAGAGTTGCCCAGGGAAGAGCAGTTAAGCAATTTGCCCATGGCCACATGGCTTGCATATGTCAGAGGCCAGACTTTAAACCTAGGTCTTTTTAACTCAAAGACCATTCCTCTACCCTCTAGCCTCACATTGATATGCAATGGATGCTATATTTTAATTCAATAAATAAGGCATTTTTGAAGGAACAAATGACAATTTCTCTGTTCCCTGGCCCTCAGCCAATGCCACATCTCTTCCATCAGCTCTAAGCTCAAGGCTTTTCACTGTCACTTCCTCCTCTGTCAAATCCCCCGTGGTCACCTTCGCCTCTTCCTTCACGTAACAATTCCCGAGTCTTGACTCAGGGTAGGACTCCGTCAGGTATCAGATCCTTCTCCCTGTCAGGGTTGAGGGAAGGAACTCAGCTCTTGGGGTTGGGGATAAAGAAGCCCGGTTCCTAGGACCTCACCTCTTTCGGCTGCTCGTGCAGGCTGCTTCCGCCATCTCTTTTGCCTCTTCCACACTGCTCATCAGGTCCTCATAGGTCAGCATGTTGGCAGTAGCGCCTAGCCTAAGGAGAAACAATAACAGGAAGTAGAATACAGGATTACAGGATCATAGACACACACACGCACACACGCACACACACGCACACACACACACGCACACACACGCACACACGCACACACACGCACACACACACACACGCACACACACACGCACACGCACACACACGCACACACACGCACACACGCTTGATTTTTTTTTTAAATTTAAAAAAATCCATCTTCTCTCTATCCCACCCACCCTCCCCTACTGAGGGTTGGGAGTGAGAAAGAAAAACTTAAGCCCTGAAACAAACACGCATAGTCACATGAAACAAATGCCTGCATTGGCCATGGCCAAAAGTATGTCTCATTCTACACTCTGAGTCCATCACTTCTCAGTCAGGAGATGGGTAACATGCTTCATGATCAGACCTCAGGAATCATGATTGATCACAGGGTTATTCAATGTTCATGTCTTTCAAAACTGTTTGTTCTTACAATGCTGTTGTCACTGTTTAAACTGATCTCCTGATTCTGCTTATTTCACGCTGCATCAGTTCATAGAAATCATCCCAGGTTTCTCCTCATTTTACAAGAAGAAACTGAAACCTGCACAGTTGACACAATTTGCCCAAGGTCACACAGCTAGTTAGTGGGAGAAGAATTTCCCAGTATATCTCCCCTGGTTCTAAGGTTTACAAAAGCAGCTCTTTCACATCAGTGACTTCCCCACCACCATCAGCAACCAGCCAGCATCAGAAAGTCAATGCAACCTGATCTAGGACTTAGTGTGGAATAGGAAAGAAGGCAAGAGGTTCATAAATAGTAATACCTTAGCACTAGATGTCCCCATCCCTTCAAACGGACCAGGGAAGTAATAACTCAAAGCAGGCACAGCTGCATATGGAGGAGTGACAGCTTCAAGAAATGGCTACAGTATGGCGGGCACAGACATGTCAGTAATTGCAGAATGGGGAACTTGGAGTCAGGAAGACCTGAATTCAAATCCTGGTAAGATATTGACTACCTGTGTGACCCTGGACAAGTCACTTCACCTTGTCTCAGTTTCCTTATCTGTAAAATGAGGATAATAATAGGACTCATCTCACAAGGTTGTTGTAAGGATCAAATGAGTTAACATATGAAACATATGGAAAGTGCTCTGTAAAACTTAAAGTGTTACATAAATTCTAGTTACTATTATTATTATCATTATTGTGGAATGCCCATAAGTGCTGAGCACGTCTGAGAATGCAGCCAAAAACAAGTGTAGTAGGGTTCTAGGAAGCTCATTGTTGGGGGCTCATACCAGATGCTAGAGTGACCCCAAACCCCAAGCCCACTTGACCTTAAGTCAAATATAGGAAGAAGAGAAATCAGCCTTTCATTTAAAGCAGATTAAAAAGCAGCTGTTGCCCTCATCTCTGAGTTCATGGACAACTGATGAAGTGTATAATCCTGCCTCGAGCCAGTGCCCTAAGCCTTCTACCACTCTGGTTCAAACCAAGAGCCTAATCCTTATGAAGTCTCTCTGCTTCATCGGGGAATAAGAGAAACAACTGCCTCTGTTCACCTTTCAGCAATTAAAGGAATTAGAGACGGTGACACTCTTTGGGTCCACAAGAATATTTCTCTACCATCATCGAATGATAAAGAGCAAGAAGAGAGAAAGAGAGAATGAGAGAGAGAGAGAGAGAGAGAGAGAGAGAGAGAGAGAGAGAGGCAGACAGAGATACAGACAGAGAGATAGAGACAGAATCAGAGCCAGAAAGATAGAAATGGGAAGACAGAAAAAAAAAAGACAGAGAGACAGACACAGACACAGAGAGACAGAAAGACAGAGACAGAACCAGAGAGGTGGAAACAAAAATACAGGGACAGACAGAGAAAGAAAGAGACAGACACAAACAGAGAGAGGCAGAGACACAGACACAGAAAGACAGATAGAATCAGAAACAGAGAGACAGAAACAAATACAGAGACAGGCAGAGAAAGAAAAAGACAGAAAGACAGAAATAGAGAATACCTTTGAGTATACACAGGTGCCCTTGTCTCTGTAGCACAAGGGAGCCCAATGGCTGTATGAAGGACCATCTTGCTCCCCTGTAAGGAATTCCAGTATCCTCTCTCAAACCCATTAAAAAACTAAAACTTCTACCACTAATCCAGTTAGTTGATCAGGCACAAATTCTAAAATCTTCTTTTTATTGCTATCTTTTTTTTTTTACATTACGTTGCCTTCCAAATACAATGTAAAGACATTTTCTGTGGCTGCTGATTCCAAAAGATCCAAGTCAGGTTCCAGAGTCAGAGAGTAATGAACCAGGATGGCACATGACCCAAATTTTGACAGGGAAAGGAAAAGTCAGAGTGTTCATTGAAGTCTTTCCACTGTGCCTGATGAAATCTATGTTCTAACATGAATAAACCCTAACGTTTTTCACTTTTTCCTCCAAGTGCCTTCCTCTTTCTGCCTTAACCAAAATCTAGCTTTCCCCAATGACATAAATGACCTCACTAAATGCCACTCTTTTCAGTGCACTAACTTATAGGGGCAGGTGGAGAGGTTGGCATACCACTGCTACCTCCATATATTGGGCTATTTGGCTATCTTCTTTGAGCAATTTCACTTCCTTAAAAGTCCATACCTTTCTTCCCCTGATAAACCAAAGTTTAAAAAAGATTCCATGAATACCAAGTTGTTCATAAGAACAGTGCAGGGATGGGTAGCTAGGTGGCACAGTGGATAAAGCACCAGCCTTGGAGTCAGGAGGACCTGAATTCAAATCCGGCCTCAGATACATAACACTTATTACCTGTGTGACCCTGGGCAAGTCACTTAACCCCACCACCTAGCCAAAAAAAAAAAACAAAACAGTTTGCAGATAGCAAAAAAACTAAGTTGATGACCAACAATTAGAAGATGGCTTGATAAATTAGGTATCTTAATCCAACGGAATAGTTTGCATTGTAAGAAACAATGAATGAATTCAAACTCTTCTGGATGGTGCGGTAGATAGAGCATTAAGCCTGGAATCTGGAAGACCTAAGTTCAAATCTAGCTTCAGACCCTTACTAGCTATGTGGTACTGGGCAAGTCATTCACCCTCTGTCTGCCTCAGTTTCCTCAACTGTAAAATAGGGGTAATAATAGCACCTACCCCCCTGGGTTTTTGTGATGATCAAATGAAATAATATTTATGCTTTGAATAGTACATAATACATAGTAGGCACTTTAAAAAATACTTGTTCCCTTCCCTCCAAAGAAATATTGGAAGGCATAGGTGAACTGGAGCAGCGTGAAATAAGACCAGGAAAACAATACACACAATTATGACAATACCAAAGAAAATCATAACAAACCTAAGCTGAACATAATGTAGTTACAATGCCAAAGCTTGGACCTGGTGAAGAGTTAAGAAAAGAGAAAAGCGTAGCCTCCTTCTTTCATTGGAGAAGTGGGGAACTATGGGTGTGTAATGTGGCAGACATTGTTATATAGTTGCATGTGTTTATAACTATATCTATATCTATTCAGATACATACCTATACATATATTATATATACACAGAACAATTGAGGGGTGGGGAAGCCTAACCACTGGGAGAATTATGAGGCAGCTACGTGGCTCAGTGGATAGAGCTCTGGACTTGGAGTCAGAAATGCCTGCGTCCTAATCTAGCCTCTATTCCTTGGTTTCCCTAAACTATCTAGTCTTTTCTTTACCTTTTTGGTTGTTCTCTTTAGGGTATAAAAGAGATTCACAGGTGAGAGAGGGAGACAGGAAGGGTTTCTCCAGAAATGCTGGTGACACAAAAATAAAGTGTTCATATATCTTTTTTTTAAATGTTCAAAAAACAGGAAGTCCATACTTTTCATTTTCTTCACCCTCTCTCCATCTTGTTGGTGCCTTGTACTAGGACACTTTCTCCCCTTCCTCAAGGAACTCAACAAGCTTGTTGCCTTGTTGGCCTGGCTCACAGGCTTCCTCCCCTCCCCCCCCATGCAGTGCTGTCAGAGACTTCACCAGTAACGCTGGTGACACTAGGGTCCTCCTCAACTGTGATGACCTTCATCTTCATTTGACTTCACTGAAGCTGGAGGAGAGGCCATGTGCTTGCCTTTATCACTTGGAACTTCTCCACCCCCAAGATTCCAACTTTGAAATTCCCTGCTTTGACTGTGATATGTTATCACATTCCTTCACTCCTACTGAATCCATTCTTAACCATCACTATGACATCCAAGTTGCTGACTCCATTTAAACTTCCATTGTATCAGACCTGCCATGTGTTTACTTACCAATAAAAACAACAGCTCACATTTGAAGGCTGAAAAAGTGCTTGCCTTGCAATAATGCTATGAAAAAGGTGAGAATTAATATTCCCATTTTACGGACAAGGAAGCTGAGGACCAGAGAGTTTAAATGGCTTGTCCTTGCTCACCCAGCTCATGTCAGAGCTAGGGTTCAAATCACGGCATCCTGGCTCCATACCGAGTTTTTTATCGACCATTTTAATGTTTTCATTAGCAACTCTGGTTTCCTCCTCACCTCATACCTTCCCACCGCGCCCACTTTTCCTTGAACTTAGGATAGCCCTGTTTTCTCTTTTTTTCTGCTTCTGACCTTTGGCCATGAGCATGACCAGTGAAAGTCAAATCAATTATTTCCACTATAAATTCATCCTGCCTAACCTCAATCAAGCCGTCTCAGCGATGCTTAGCAATCCATTTCAATTCATTTTCCTAATTGACTGCATCTTGTTTCCCATAGCAACTGAACCAGACCTTTTCTGCTCTCCTCAAGCCCCCAAACCCAACTCACCCTCTGTAGGTGACCTTTCCCCTTAAAGTAGGGAGAATGAGGGAGCTGGGAAAAGAGAAATGAATACAAAAGCAGAAAGTGTGCTGATTTGCACCTACTTAAAAGTGGAAGTATAGAATTAAAGCTGCTGGAAGCAAAAGTGAAATGGCATCCTACCTCTCTCAGTCCCTCCCTCCCCCTCCCCAAACCTCAAGCACCACAAGTGATCTAGGTCAACCACAGCCCCCAACTACACAAGGGTG